CAATGTGATGGTATGTGAGAAAGATTTTGATACTAAGCCAAGAGATGCTGCCAAGGGAATGGGCAGAAAAGAGACAGCATAGCTTGCAAGTGGATAGTGAGCAGGGCAAGAGGCTCAGAAAAGACCCTCCCTAGTTTCCTACCTCTAAAGGAGATTTGTACTTTCAGGTTTGCAAGATTGATATTGATCTCACAGGGTAAACTGGATAGGAATTATAATCAAACAAACAAATTCTACTTTATGGTAAAGCTACGTTGACCGAATCAGAACCTCTCATTCTGAAGAGCGCTTCCCTGCCATCTGAAGCCAATCTTCTTAACACATAGGTATATATGAGTTAAATGACACACAGGGGAAAAAAATGATTGGAAAATCCTAACACAGCACAGAGTGGAGAAAATCATTGCTTTCTCTCTTGCTAAACGTTTAAGCAAATGGGAAAACCTGACGTGTTCTGTTATACTTTAGCCACTATTTGAACTTTTTTCAATAATTAACTTGTGCTTTACTTGGCCTAGGAATCCCATCTTCCCATAATGATACTCATTATGGTCCTATAGAAACTCCTTAATCCTTTGAAAAGCAGGTTATGCTCGCAAAGTCACATCTGTATAAGTTGATAAAGCATCATAATGCAGAGAGGCTGAGGACTGGGCTTGTAGCTGTTGTGAGGAACTGTTGGCAGAGCGCACACACTACAGTGTCAAACTCGCGGCGTCATGGCGGTGTCATGTGATGTATTGGGACTTTTCCCCCTTTCGCTAAACCGGGTGTGGGCGTGGCCAGCGCGTGATGCATCTGGCCTGCGGGCTGGGAGTTTGACAGCCCTGCACTAAAGGAAGTAAAGCAAGAATAAACTTCCTTTCGCACATGTCTATTGCCATAACTGTATGATGAGAATTGTCCACAACATTGGTTGAAATTGAAAAAATACTGCTACAATAGCAGCTTGTAAGAGCTATGGTGGTGTAGTGGTTAGAGTGCCGTACTGCAGGCTAACTCTGCCCACAGCCAGGAGTTCGATCCTGACCAGCTCAAGGTTGATTCAGCCTTCCATCCTTCCGAGGACGGTAAAATGAGGACCCAGATTGTTGGAAGCAATATGCTGACTCTGTAAACCACTTAGAGAGGGCTGTAAAGCACTGTGAAGCGATATATAAGTCTAAGTCAGTGGTTCCCAACCTTTTTTTGGCCATGCCCCACCTAAGCACATTGGAAACCACTGGTCACATGCCCCACATTGGGAACCACTGGTCTAAGTGCTATTGCTAGTGCTATTGTTACATCTGGCAATGTAGAAATGCTTCTTTTGTCTTCTGGAAGCTTTTATTTGAAACATTACAAGTGAAATGCTCTAATCTGAGGATGATGGAATTGTGGCAAAGGACATCCTAGGCCAGCTATTTTCTTGCATATTTTCTGCAAGAAAAAGATCCAGCAGAATCTTTCCTAGAACAGTAATATAAATTTTTATGAAACTTGAATCGTTCTCTTCTGAATGCTGACAGCCATTCAACAAAAGAATGATACAACAGTGAACAAAATTCAAAGCTATTTGCACTCTTACTTAGTCAGCTTATATCTTTGTTTCTGGTGCACCTGTCCAATCATTTTGTATTTATGGTGTTTAGCATAGGAAAACGGGGGGGGGGGGTGTTAGTAAATTATGCTCAGATGTTCTCAAAGCTGCATAGGAATAATGCAGATTTAGGGAATCATTCATCTCAAGTAATGCTATGATCATTAAATATTGAGAATCTTTATCAGAGTTCAGTCAGCTAGGAAATCAAATAGACACGTGATGAAGATTTCCAACTGCATTGTGTGTATTGCTTTAAATACTTGGATTAGAATCATCCTTCCACGGTGATATTTTTCATATTCTGTCAAAAAGACTTGTCACGTACTTTAATCTGAAAATTCAGATTTTATACATCATTCTAGCAGGTTATCAAAATATTAAGGAATTTTAATTCCTGCTGATGAACAAAAAGAACTGATCTATTTTAAATGTACTATTGAGAAGTAAAGTTGTCCTAGTGAACCAAAGCTATGCTACAACAGAGAAAGAGGAATATCAGAGTAAGTTACATTTCATAATTTTCTCCTCATGTAGATACTTATCATAAGGTCTAAATAAATTTTTCAGGAATTGTAGTCTTGGATCTTTTGCATAATGGGTTGAGTTTGCAGATAAGAATGATTTGCTTCTTTTCTCACAAAAATAAAGATATAATTATAGAATTAATTGGTTGCTTAAGATGAACGCATTCAAACATACTTTTTAGCTTTACTTAGTCCTACAGAGGTAGTCTTAAAGTCTTAAATAGATGTTAAGAAGAAATAATTGCAGATCTCTACTGTGCCCCAATCTTACTCCAGAATCGCAGATTTTCAATAAAGGTGTTGAGAGGATCAGGGATTACACTCATCTCTAAATTTCAGGATTTCTTGATGTGGTTCTTTTAAGTAGAACAGTGGTTCTCAACCTGTGGTTCTTGGAGGCCGCGATATTGCCTTCATTTCTCTTTCCGTCCACCCACTTTTTAAAAAAAATTAAACCCCTTTTCCTCTAAGATTAAAAATCAGAAGATGAAGATAGTTACAAAAAAATATGAAACTAGAAGATCAAATACGACTGAGGGAGTAAACTGGTTTTAAGATTGTGAAAAAAGCAAAAGATTTGGGTATTATTATGACGAATATAAACTGTATATTATTTCAAAATAATTATGTCAAGTCAGGGACTAGGAAGGAAATGAAGGACATATAAAAAAACCTGAAAACAATTAGATCCAAATAGAAACATTGATACAGAGGATTTTAAAGATTAATACCATGTTTCCCCGAAAATAAGACCGGGTCTTATATTAATTTTTGCTTCAAAAGATGCATTAGGGCTTATTTTCTGGTTAGATCTTATTTTGGGGAAATACAGTACTAAAGTCACCCATCTGGCTGACAATCTTAACTGGGGCTTATTTTGGGGGTAGGGCTTATATTACAAGCTTCCTGAAAAATCATGCTAGGACTTATTTTCTGGTTGGGTCTTATTTTTGGGAAAACAGAGTACTTAGTTGAAGTATTAAATATGAACTGTGGTGGTGGAGTGGTTAGAATGCAGTAAATGGGACAAAACTCCCTTAACTAATATCTCACTTAGTAGCAGAAATTTTGGGCTCAGTTGTGGCTGTAAATTGAGGATTAACTGTATTCTTTCTGTGAAGTAATACTCTGTAATATTACTTTTGACCTTCTCTACTGTCAATTTGAGCTGATGCCCCCATGTTCTTTATTTTTGCTTAATGTTGAAAATACTGCCTTCTAGAATCTTATTCACACCCTTAATATATTTAAAGGTTTCAATAATGTCACCTATTTCCCTTCTGTTATCCAGGCTTTAGTTCCTCCAATCTCCTGATATGTTTTGACCCTCACACCTTGTGGCATTTTTGTTGCCCGTCTCTAGACTTGCTCAATCTTATGTCTTTTTTTAAGTGAGGTCTCTGGAACTGGACACAATATTTAGATGTTTTAGGCGTTTGATTAGAATTGTACATATAACTGCTGAGAGAAAGATTTCTTACATAAATTTTTCATGTTTACTGTTTCATTTCTGTTCTGTTGTTTTTGTTTTTTATCTCCTTTTTCCCTTTTCCCTTCTCTCTCTTTTTCCTTTCTTTTTTTCCCCTTTCACATTTACTTTATTATATGTTTTTCTTGAATGTAGTTCTTATTACGTATGTAAAAATCTTTTAATGAAAACTAAAGAAAGGACAAAGGACAAAGATGGACTTTGTAATCGTTAGAATTCAAAACTGATATCGAACAAAGGGTTTCTGGTTTGCATTCACCAAATGAAGTGAATGAATTAATTGCTTTAATATGCTTGCATTGATTTGAAAAGATTACTGCAGTCACAAAGATTATTGTGGAGGCAAATGTCTTAACATCAGTGATAAAAACAACAATGCCTTGAATGCTAAGCATATTTCTCTATTTTTGCCTCTAAGATGGTGTCACAGCTAAAATGCAAGGTGGTTATAATAATGACACACGCATCATTAAATTGAATTAGTGTGCTCAGGGTCATGTGGTGCAATCCAGATTTTATTTGTAAACTTTCTTGCCTGTTCCAGTTCATTTAAATGCTAGTTTATTAACATTCCCCCTTTCCCCCTTTTTACTAATATGAGGCAGGTTTTCCCATGCTGATCTTTCTCCCCTTTTCCCCAAGTACTATACAGAGTTAATCAATACTGGCCTATTCCCCAGGCCCACTGGATTGATTCTTCAAAATCAGCTAGGGAGCCTCTCCTTGTGGATAGCACCAAGATGACTCATGGTTTCTCTTAAAACTACCTAAGTTGATGTTATTTTGAATGTGTTTGTGAATGAAAGAAACAGTCTATGGTTTCTCTTGCCCTCTACTGCTTTGCATACATGGAACCTTGACTCCAGGAATTCTTTTGTATTAGAGGAAATTTCTATTTCCCCTGAGAACCACAATAGATGCAATTTAACCAGCGGGATGGTAGATATGAGTATATGAGGCATGTTGCCCCTGGTTACTTGCTTTTGGGCATATTCTCCTCTGCCATTTTTGTGGCCTTTGACCATGGTGATTTATCAAAACTGGAAGTTGAAGGCCAAGGCTTCTAACAAACAGTATACTGCTCTAGGATAGGCTGTTTTAGGCCACTTTGTTAGCAGAAAACACAAATTTAGGTTGACTTCATTTAAATACATTTTATTGTGGTTATGAAATAGTGCTTTATTGGAGAATGAAATCCTGTATTCTGCATTTAGTTGGTATCCAAACGAACTTGGTTCCTCTTGTTTATTGATACATGCTTCTAATAATCAATGCGTTGTTCGATGCAACAAATGGGCACTTTGGAATACACTATTGTGGACATTTCTACATTGTTCTGTATCTTGAATTCTCAAGTTTTCTTACCACAAGGTTGTTAAGATTATCTATTTTATATTATTTGCAGGTGGAGATTTACATTTTATCTTTACATATTCACCTATGGATCCCGGATCTTAAAAAAGGTAAGATGCTTTGTCTTTGAGGCTAAATCAAATTGTTTCATGGTATTGCTAATAATAGCCTTATGAATATTTCTAAAGAATGTAGTGGTTAGATGGCCTAGACATTGATATTTGAATATAAATCCTTGTACGCCCTGTTTCTTGATCTGGCCAGCCTTGAAAGGTTGATATAAATCTTGAAAGCCTGTCCAAATATCTCTCTGTCTGATCTTCTAATAAATAAAAGCAGGGCAGGATTATTTCTTTCTCACACTTTGTTCCATATCTGCACTATGCACTATTTTATTTGCACTGGATATACTACTATAATTTGCACTATACAGTATGTACTATCCATATACCATACAGTACCATATGGATATGGCTGATTTTGGACAATCACTTTGAATAAATGACTCAATAATTGCATGTTTTCAAGAAAGGTTTTCAAGTAGCCATATGCCATGGAAATATTTTTACAGTTTTCTCTTCTTTGTTTTTTTGTGTTTATTTTTATATTTCCTGAAATAAAATAAGTATCGTTTCCCCAAATTATAAAGATTTGGTTCAATCTAGTGCAGGGGTGTCAGACTGGTGGTCCGTGGGCCTGATGCATCATGTGCAGGCCACACTCACCCCATCCACGAAAAGGAAATACGTCACGTGATGGCAATGTGACGCCACGAGTTTGACACCCTTGATCTAGTGATTCTTTGAATGCAGGGTTATTTTTAATACATACGTGATACTTTCATTCCTTTTGCTGGCCATAGTTGGCCTGTAAACCTTTTAAGTTGGTTTAATGGATGCAACCTACCGAGTGGCCTGAATTTTGGAAGACTTATCTTAAGACCGACATACCTTTTGGAAGGCCAACATACTTTGTCAAAAATACATCTCATTTAGATTGGAAATGTGGTATTGCAATGCTGTAAGGTACTGCTAGAGACAGCTTATGCAGAAATTGAGGAAGATCTTCCAGGCAATCAATATTAGCCTTCTTGCATCATCAACATGAAACAAAATGTGTAGAAATTCAAAGACAGAGAGGTCATAATAACCACCAATTCTGTTCTTCACTCATTTAAAAAAAATGGTTAAAAAGCCCTCCCTGAACACACTTCTATTAATTTATTAGCTTGCTTGGATAAAAAAATAAAATAAAAGGTGGACAGGATTTTTTAAAAGAGACAATATCCAATAGTAAGACCTAAAGACAACATCTCCTGAACTCTAGGTAGATTCCTAATTTGGAGACTGTTGCAATCACATTCGCATGAAGCCATTTTCTTTAATAACATGATTCAGAATTTTTAAATTGGCTATAAATATAGATTGGTTGATTGGCTATTTTAAAACTATTTTATATATGCAAAAGATTGTGTCATATTGCTCTGCGTGGTATGATTTCAACTTGACCTCCTCAATCTTACATTGGTTGTGTTCTTTCAAAGAAGTAACTGCATTTCTTTGCATGCTGCAAAATTAATATGACTAGCTCTAATTTGATATCTGTGAGATTACATAGATTTCAGGAACCCCTAGTTTTTTCCCTATATGCCTAGTCAAATGTGTCTTAGGAGAGCTGAGCATCTTTTGATAGCAGGACATTGTTTTGTTTGTTTTTTCATTTTGATTTATATAATTGAATTTTCCCGTGAAAATCCCCATATCTTTGCGCTATTTCACCACTTGCAATTAATGTTGCAAAATATTCCTCTTCTCTTAAACATATCTTTATTCAAAATAGGATTTAGGGACCATGTCAGATTAGATAACCAGATAATTAGATTAGAATTATGACACTAAGCCTTTCATGTTTATACGTCTTTTTACACAATCTGCAAAGGCAGATTTCACTGCAGATTTTCTGGAGTGAAAAAAAAGTGTTCCATTCCTTGTAAAAAAAAAATTGGTCATAATTAACCTACTCAGAAGATTTTGATATTTTTCAGAAGACCAGCCATTTAGGGCTGGGATAAAAAAGGGAAGATGTGTAACAATTTACTGACTTTGGGCCTTACAAAGAATGGGAGTAGGGAAAGTATATAGGAGAAAAATCTTTCATTGTTCTATATTCCCGCTCCCTTCACTGATCTTGGAGTACTGCCTGTCAGAAACAGATTCTACTATCCATTCAAACAGCTAGGAGAAAATGCAAAAGAAAAGTAGTCATGACATAGAATCTGCAATGTTCATAAGGAGATGATTCAATCAGATTATTTGCCCATAGAGTCCAGTATGGAAACGGTTTTCCAAAGTCTCACATAAGGATTTCAATCTGGAATCCTTTCCATGCGAAGTACACATTTTAGTGGGGCTTCCATAGAAAACAGTAGTTTATTGTACAGACCCTCCCAGAGATTTTAAGGCATACCTAGGTACAGACACAGAAAAATATTTTCCACTTAAACTCTTAAAAGACGAAAACTACATTTTTCACGAACTGGTAATTTAGTGGCAAAACGAACATAGCGCCAACATAATAAAATCATAACATTCCCAAGTTGTAGATAATTCACAGTGTAATTAACTAGAGTACCTGAATTATCTTCAGATATTTGGAAGATTCCAGAAAAACAAATAATTACAAGTCAATTTACACCCAAGGCACTGCAATTAATCTTATTTAAAGTCTCCAATTCTCATGCAAGGATAAGCTTAAAGTTACTGCAGAGATGAGATAGCCTTAGTAATGATGAAGAGCAACTTGTATAGAATTTAAATTTCTACTCCCAAAAGTGTTTTTTTTCAGGAGGCAAGTGGACTTTTTTGTTTTTTCTTTTGAAGACATTTTGCTTCTCATCCAAGAAGCTTCTTCAGCTCTGACAGGACAGTGGGGAATTATCTATCCTGTCAGAGCTGAAGAAGCTTCTTGGATGAGAAGCGAAACGTCTTCAAAAGAAAAAACAAGAAAGTCCAGTTGCCTCCTGAAAAAGCACTTTTGGGACAACCATGACCTGGATAGCCTGAGAATCTCTACAGACTTTAAGCTTCTACTATTTTTAAAATCTTTATTCTAGCTTCTATTCTTTAAGGAAAAAGAAGTAGGATTTCTTTCCTTTCCCATATCAGACTGTATGAGCCCACTTCTCAGACCTGACTGTTGTAGGTACCTCCGCTGTTCTTACAAAACAGTCTTGTTTGGTCCCAGGTTCCTTTTTCCCTATCTTGCCTGCTTCAGTCTTCAGATTAAAGAATCATTTTTTCTATCTCAATGCAGCTGAGTAGAGACAATTAGTGTCACACAATTAACTTGTGCACTGTAACAAAGATGCATCAAGGAGGACACTCAAGCATTAAAGGGGACAATAACGTTGGATATCCTTATTCAGAAATTGGCAATCTCACTAGATTTTTCCCAAATTATATTTATATTTGCATTTTGTTAGAGGGATAGGTACCTGGATCTGCATGAGAATTGTGTGGTACGCTTGTTGATTCCTAATCTTGTTTTATTAGATATTGAATGGTCTGATACAATAGAAAGATAAAGAAGCCAGAATATTGTGCTACAGAAGTGTCCCATTTATAACTGGACAGGTGTCAGGAATGGGATAGTAATCTCAATTTCTATCTTAGAAATATATAATAGTAGTATCAACATCCACTGAAAGATTCTAGAGAATCAGATGGTGTAGCCTCCAGTCCCTTTCTCAAAGACTAACCATTATAGCAATAGAAATAGGCTCAATATCAAAATGAGGCCTGTGTTCGGTTTAAACAGATGTGAAAATTAAAATGTTTAGAACTTTAAAACTTCTAATCAGTTTATTGCTCACATTCCATAAATGTATTCAGTGTCTTCCTTTTATATGATGTCTGAATTAAAATGCATATTTGTGTTCTGACAACAGGACTTAGTCAGAAAGCATCTGGAATAACCCAAATTGGTACCTCTGACTATATTCAGAGATGCAGCTCTATTGCCACTGAATTAATCGAAAAGCCCCCAAACATCTTGAAGTTGTTATGTCTTCCTGAGAAGTTGTTAAGAATCAAGCAGATTTGATTCTCCATTTGTTATATGCTGGAAATTCCTTCTGCTGAAGCTACAACCTGTAGCAATGTGTGGCATTTCTCAATTGTTGTGAAGAAATGAGCTACAGTTTTTACAGGAAACAAGTGGAGTAATATGGTTGGGCATAGATGTAAGAAACATGGCCAGACAGGTTTTCTGTATTTTTGTATTTGAAAATACTTCTATATGAGGGTTACACTTTGCCTATGTGCAGCAAAAAACTTCAGAGCAGTGGTGAAATCCAAATTTTTTTACTACCGGTTCTGTGGATGTGACTAGGTGGGCATGGTGTGGCTTGGTGGGCATGGCTTGGTGGGCGTGGCAAGGGAAGGATATTGCAAAATCCCCATTCCCTCCCCACTCCTGGGGGAAGGATATTGCAAAATCTCCATTCCCACCCACTGTGGGGCCAGCCAGAGGTGGTATTTGCTGGTTCTCTGAACTACTCAAAATTTCCGCTACTGGTTCTCCAGAACCTGTCAGAACCTGCTGAATTTCACCCCTGCTTCAGAGTAACATGAGAGTTTCTTGCCTGCAACTGTACACGCTATTAGCCTAAGTCAATTTAGGAAGCAGATTGTACTCTCAGAATACAGAGTACAAGGATGTCCCAGAGGTGCTTTTTCTGGAGGCAACTGGACTTTCTTGTTTTTTGTTTTGAAGACGTTTTTGCTTGTCATCTAAGAAGTTTCTTCAGCTCTGACCAGAAAGTCCAGTTACCTCCTGAAAAAGCACCTTTGGGACAACCATAAACTGGATTACTGAGAATCTTCATAGACTAAAGTAGAAGGAATTTTTTGAACCATTAAGAAAGTTGAGCACTGAAGAATTGATGCTTTCAAGCTGTGGTGTTGGAGAAGACTCTTGAGAGTCCCTTGAACTGCAAGGAGATCAAATCAGTCAATCCTAAACGAAATCAACCCTGACTGTTCTTCAGAAGGACAAATACTGAAACTGAAGTTCAAATATTTTGGTCAGCAAATAAGAAGAGAAGACCCAT